GCGCTGGTGGCTTATGCTTGTAATCCTTGCTACTCAAGAGACTGAGATCTGAGGATTGTATTTCAAAGCCAGCCCAGGCAGGAAAGTCTGTGAGACCCTTATTTCCAATTAACAACCAGAAAACCGGAAGTGGTACTGTGGCTCAAGTGGTAGAGCACTAGCCTTGAGCTGAAGAGCTGAGGGACAGCGCCCAAGCCCAGAGTTCAAGCCTCACGACTGACTGACAAAAGAAAAAAAAAATTATACAGAGCCTACTAGAAGTTGATCCAGTCTACTAAGAGATTTTTTTAAAAAATCTTTCTGTTTCACACTGGACCAATCCTGTTACTGTCTTTAATACTGTCTCATTATGTTAGGACTAATTTACTATTAATGTAAAATAGTTTTTTTTCCCCCAATTTCAGGTCTTCATTTTATCTTTTGTGTTTCTATAGTCATTCTATAGGTTTATTTAGTGTAAGAGTAATAATTTTTAATATCCATATCTAGTAATGCTATCAAATAGATAGTTTCCTATTGATTTACTTTTCTGCCTAATCTGAGTTTTATTTTCTTGTTTCTTTGTGTGCTTGATAAACTTTTGTTGGGTGCCAGATATAAATTCTACTTTGTTGAGTACTGGGTATTTTTGTATTCCCGTACCTTAATCATTGTGCTGAGACAAAGTTAAGTTACTTGAAGACAATTTGATCCTTCTGGATCTTTGAAGCTTCTTGAAGCAAGAACAGAACATTTGTTCTTGGGCTGATTGTTCCCTAGCACTGAGGCAAGACCCTTCTGAGTATTCAGTGTCCCCTAGATTATGAACAGGCTCTGATCCCGGCTTTATGTGAGCACCAGGTACTGAACCTTTTCCTTGATAGCTTCCTTATGTGTGGGATTAGTACTAGTCTGCCCTGTACCAACATTATTTCCATTTTAGCTGTGTTCCTTGCTTCACAAATCTTGTCACTGTTACATCAACTATTTTGTAACTAAATTGAGAATTTAACATCTACTCTTGAATATATAATTAAAGTGAAGAAAATGTGAATGGTTAGAATGTACAAATAAATACATACTAAGAAAATGGAGAGGAATCAAATTGATAATGGCCCTTGTTTATATAAACCTAGGATCTCCCTCCACTACCTCAGGTCTTCTGTGAGGTTCTGATTAGACCTTTGGTTTGCAAGTGTGTTTCTGTTTTTTTGTTTTAGTTGTGGGGTTTGCACTCCGCCTGAGAGCTGTCCCTGAGCTCTTTTTGCTCAGGGTTGGCACTTAACCACTTTGAATCACAGCTCCACTCTGGTTTTCTAGTTAATTGGAGGTAAGAGTCTCATGGATTTTCCTGCCCAGGCTGGCTTTGTACCACAACCCTTAGATCTCAGCCTCTTGAGTAGCTAAGATTACAGTTATGAGCCACAAGTACTTGGCTTGGCCAGGATTCTTTACCTGGTAGAGTGACTATAACCTGCCTGTTGCTATAGTTTTTCATTAAGTTTTACTATTGGGGCATGGAAATACTCAGGTGCCCAGAGAATCCTATGTATCCTCTACCACTTTTGTGCACTTGTAATAAGGTCTCCCTTTGGCAATGAGAATTGATCATTCCAGCCAGTAGAGTGGTCACCTTTTGCTGCATATTGGTTCAGGTACATAAGAATCCTAACTAGCAGTCTTGTCTATTAATGGACCCTTTATGTTCCTGGGTATAATAGTTCCTGGGACCCAAACCTCCATACTCAAAGTTGAAGGGATAACAAGCATAAATATGTGAGGAACCACTCCAATGACTCATGGTTCTGAAGCCCATACCTGACTCAAAGCATATGCTTTCCTTTCAGGATAGTGTCTCCCAATTGTCTGAATAAACCTTTTAATGAGACCAGCCACTTGAGGGTAGTACATTGTGCTTTAAGGATGAGCCTCCTGCAGCATTTCTTTGTTGTAAAATTGAATCCTTGCTTAGAAGCTGTGCTGTGGGAATTAGGATGCCATGCTGTCAGTGGTATTGGCAGGAGCATATGTGTGTGTGTGGGGCTTATATCCAGAATATATATTCCCATGAAGATGGATCCATGCCATTTCATCATAAAAGAAAACCAGTGCAGGCTGGGTATGTGGCATATGCCTGCAATTTCAGCTAAATTTGAGAGGCAGATTGAGAAGGGGCATTGTGGTTTGAGGCCAGCCTAGTCAAAGTAAGTTATCTAGCCAAACCTGGTGGATTACACTGTAACCCTAGCTGTTTGATAGGCAGAGGTGAGAATCAAGATATGAGGCTAACATGGGTAACAAGCCCTCATCTGAAAAATAGCCTACAATAAAAAGGGTTAGAGGCATAATTCAAATTGTAGAAGGCCTGACTAACAAATACATGATGCAGAGTTCAAATCTCAGTACTGTCCCTTCCAAAAAAAACCACCACCAACAACAAAAACACCAATGAAATGAACCTGCCACTAGGCAGGTAATTGTTAACTTTAGCATTGGCCTCGCTTTTGTGCAGAAGAGGCACACAGCAGTAGTGTAGTCAGCCTGGAAAAGAGGGAGTCGTTGCTGTTGTGCTTCTTGTATAACTACCAAGCAGTGAAGTCACAGGGAAATGAGGGTATCTGACACCCTCAGAAGGCTGTTTTGTTGACTTGATGAATAACTGCTACTTTAGATGACTTTGTGTGTGAGTTGTGGGGCCTGAACTCTCGGCCCAGGCACTGTCCTTGAGCTCTTCAGCTCCAGGTGAACGCTCTACCACTTGAGCCACAGCGCCACTTTGGGCTTTTCTGCTTATGTGGTGCTGAGGAATCGAATCCAGGGCCTCATGGATGCAAGGCAAACACTCTACCACTGAGTCACCTTCCCAGCCCCCTTTAAATGACTTTCATTGGGCACTAGCATACACCCAACTATCATACTACCCATCTGAAGGATGCAACCAAACAAATGATCTCATAAACAATTATTAGAGTTAGAGGCATAATCCCTGCTATTTGGAAGATAAAGATAGGATTGTGATCTGAGATTAGCCCTGGCAAAAATTCAAGTCTGTATGTGGGGAAAAAAATGAGCAAAAGAACTCAGGGTGGGGCTGGGAAGGTGGCTTAGTGGTAGAGCGCTCGCCTTGCATGCTTAAGGCCCTGGGTTCAATTCCTCAGCACCACATAAGCAGAAAAAAAAGCCAGAAGTGGCGCTGTGGCTCAAGTGGTAGAGTGCTAGCCTTGAGCTGAAGAGCTGAGGGACAGCACCCAGGCCAAGAGTTCAAGCCCCATGACCGGACCCCCCCCCCCAAAAAAAAAAAAAAACAACTCAGGGTGTAGTTCAAGTTAGTACTTTGCTGAACAAGGCAAGCTCTGAGTTAAATCCCAGTATTACCAAGGAAAAACATTAACCAAAACAAGGGATTAGCATAATGAGTGATTTTTTTGATGAGAATAAATAAAACTAAAGAACATCTGGATAGTAGATTTGAGGTTTAGCAAAACCTCCATGATTTTGAGATCCAGATTTTATTTGGAGAGAGTCTGACCAAGAAGTACACCAGAACTTTCTACAGAGCGGTCTTAGCACCCTCGCCTGACAGTTGGCAGAGGGAAATTTGCAAGGTCTGGGTTAGTTCCGGCAAAACAGACATATAAGTAATACATTGCAGTGTCTTCTCAATTTGAAGTGTTTGAGTTCTTTTTGTATGTTTGTTTTTGGGACAGTGTCTTAGGCCGACCTCAGACATGTGATCCTGCCTCATACTCCTAAATGCAGAAAAACAGACATGGCACCATTCCTCAAGTTTTTGTTTTAATATCAAACTTACCAATATTCCTCTTGGCTTTTTTTTTTTTTTTTTTGCAAGGAGGTAAATAAGTTTGTATATGTATATACATTTAGATCTTTTGTCCATTTGGAATTCTTCGTGTGTGGTAGAAAAGTAAAAAATCAACTTATTTATCCTCTATAATATGAAAAGCCATTTAGTGTTTTATGGTTTGTTTTAGTTTTTTTTTTTTTTTTCTTATCCATTATGAGGCTTGAACTTCAGGCCTGAGTGCTGTTCCTGAGCTCATTCGCTCAAGGCTAGTGCTTTGAGCTACAGCACCACTTCTGGTTAATAGGAGATTAGAGTCTTACAGGGACTTTTTTTTCCCAGAGCTGGCTTCGAACTGTGATCCTTGGATCTCAGCCTACTGAGCAGCTAGAGTTACAAACATTAGCCTACCAGCGCCCAGCTGAAAAGCCATTTATATTTGTATTGGCTAGCTTTATGTCATTATACCAAATATCTGAGCTAATGAAGTTAAAAAGAGGAATTGATTTAAGCATGTCATTTTGGTGGTTGGCCATATTGCTTTTGGAGCTATGGCCAGGTAATTTACATCAAGGCAAGAGAGTATGGCAGAAGAGGATGGGTAAGTCCCTTCATGGTAGCCAGGAAGTAAAAGAGTAGGCACAAGGGGCTGGGCTCCCAAATCCTCTTTGATGTAAGTTCCTACTAATAGACCTCATCTCTTAAAATTTCCACCATTTTTCCAATAGCATCAAGAGTTGGGATTTTGGGGGACATTTAAAATCCAGACAATAATAATACATTTATGTTTGTAAATGTTTCTTTGGCTAATTCTGTTCCATTTATTTACTGTTTTAACCAGAACATATTTTCTTCTTTGAACAAAAAAATAAAGATAAAACTTAGATTGAGACTTTAGTAAAGTATGAGGTGAACTTTGTGGCATTTGTAGGAAGAACTGAAAGACTGCTAGAAGCAGATAGTGCTTTTAGTGAAATCAATCTGAAAATACTTTGTGGATGGATGTCTGTTCAACTGTAGTGGCTTTTCAGCTCAGACAACACAGCCTCCACAGCAAGGCCTTCTATCTTAGCTATCCTACCTGCAGAGTAACTCTGAGACTGAGAGTAGATGACCAGCGATGAAGGTAGCTTGTAGGAATGCAAATTAATGTTGATGGTTAAGATCTGGCACCAAACCCCCATCTCAGTTCTGCAGTACTTTCTTCCAAGATAAAAGATTCAAGGAATTTAGAGCCATTTATTCAAATAAAATTTGAAAAAGTATTACCAATCAGATCTGAATGGGATTCTAGATGGAGCTGTTTGGACTTGAAAAGCTGGAAGTTGCACATTTTCTTCCACACTGGGTTGGAAAACATCAGTCCTTTTTTTGTGCTTAATAGGTACCTGTAATATTAAGTAGATACTGATATATTTTAAAAATAATGGCAAATCTTGTTATAGCATAATAAAAGGCCACTGATATTGAGATGAAAATTATTGGTTCAGACTACGTTAGGCCTTTAATGGGCCAATTTGCACACTTTTTTTTTTTTTTGCCACATGTCATAAAAGGAACATGTCAAGAATCGATTGGGGAAATGAGAGTGAGGAAAGGAAAATTAGATGAGGTACTCAATCAAGTATATTTATGAAACACATGTACAGGCACTTAATAACGCACTTACTGGATGTTAGAAATATGAAACGGGTCCTGTCTGGGGTGTGGGAAATAATAGGAGAGGGAAGGGAGATGGCTAGGATAAAGGAGAGTGAATATGGCCCAAATACTTTGTTTGTGTGTGGAAATGGACTGGTGAAGCTTGTTGAGATTTGTTTGGGAAGCAGGGGGTGGGGGGTGGGGAGGAAGATGAGGAAGAGTGATAGAGACAGTCTGATTGAGGGATATTGTGTGCTTATATGGACATGTCAAAATGAAAGCCCTTTGTGCACTAAATGATACTAATGAAAATTGCTTGGAGGGTAATTTCTCATGTTTTTAAAAATGACATGAAATTATTTCTACTATGCTTAGGAACTCATGAGGGATGGGATTGCTGCTACTGGTGATAGATGGTTAAAAGTGAAATCCAGACGGAATGTAGCACTGGTACTGACTTCCACACCCTTTGATTGACTTGAAATTGAGAAGCTGTCATTGGGCTTATTTCAACATCTAATGTAAATTTAAAGCATAATGTCAGATTTAAGGTTTTCATTGTTTCAGGAATGTAATCAGACTTATTACTTACCGTCTTTGGTCTTTGAATCTGTCTTGTCACTTTACTACCAGTAAGATTAGTTTTCAAAAAGTGTTGGTGGGAGAATCTGGATGATGTAGAAGCAGAATTTAGGGAGTAGTGAGCTTGGGATGTAAGTCCTATAAAGTTAAAAATGTTTTAAATTAGACATCAGGTTGTAATGTTTGGAACTAGACTTAATTTATGAAAGTTAAGACCTTAAAATGGGCCTCTAATTCAACTTCATCAATTTTGAGTTAAGGTTCAAACCTTGGATTGAGATTTTTCCTGAGAGTTACATGACCATGTAAAAGTGGAGCTAGAAGGCAGACGTAGACTAAAAGTTATTAGGGATGTGGTAATTAACTGGATTGACAGGTCAGGACAAAGAGCCATCAAATTTCTCAAGTAACTGGATATTTGGCAATACCATCTGTTGGGACAGCGCCTCCTTTACCCCAAAAGGAATAGGCCTGGAGGAGGAGAGGAAGATGGTTCTGTTTGACCTGCTGAACTTGCAAGCTGGAGATCCCAGGATAAGACATCCAGTTGTCATTGGTTATACGGTCCAGAGCTTGCTTGGAGGAGTTACAAGCTGCAGGTGTAGACTTGGCAAGCAATGATTAAAGCCGTGGGAACAAAAGCAGTTAGCATCCAGAAACAATGAATCCTGAACAGCTCTGGTGTTCAGAGACTGGATACAGGAGCAGAAGCTGGAACAGGAAACTTTTTTTTTTTTTTTACACAGAGATAGCTGTGAAGGCTACCCCTTCCAGGTAGGGAAGAGAGCAGGGCTTATCATTGCTACTTAGTGGACTGTCATGGGCAGATTTAGCATCTAATTTGCCTTGGGGACTGGTAGACTGTGACATATATGTTTGTGATGAAAAAAATATGTTATAAATATGATCTCCAAGAACCACTGGAGTTACAACAATAGACACAAAAAGAATAAAGAATTGACAAGGCCAAATTTACGTCTGCAAAAGGGTGTGCCATTGGCCAAAACTCTGGCAAGCAGAGCAAGACTGCACACAGAGCAGTCAGGTTGCCCATTCCCTCCATTCCTAATGCAGCAGGCCCTGCCCCTCAGGCTCAGATTGTTAAGGCCAGGTTCACAATCTGATGGAGATTGGCTAGTGTGAATAGGGTAAGACATAAATACATAAGGCAACTTTATATTATAATATAATATTTCTTGAACAATTTGAGGTGAGCTTTATTCCATCTTGAGGAACCAGTGTAAGACAAAACCTTATGGTTCAAAAGTTCTTCCTTATCTCAAAGCAGTTCCTCTTTTCCTTAACTAGAGCCAAGCCACCAGCCCAAAGCAGGAACTTTTAAAGATGTAGGGCACACTTTGATAGAAAAGACACTGTCTTCACGCAGTGCCAATATCAGGGCTTGAACTCAGTGCCTTAGTTTTTTGCTCAAGCCTGGCACTATCACTTGAGACATAGCTCTATTTTTGGCTTTTTTAGTGGTTAAATGGAGATAAGAGTCCCACGGACTTTCCTGCCCCAGCTGTCTATGTACAGAAAGCCTTGCATTTCAGCCTCCTGAGTAGCTATGATTATAGGTGTGAGCTGCTGGCACCCTGCCTGGAACCGGAAACTGAAGCAGCAGCTAGAGGAAGAAGAGGAAACCTCAACAAGCAGTACTGTGGAAATGAGAAAAAAGAGTGTAGGTGATGTATGTAGCCATGGTTTGAATGCTGCCAAGACTGGGGCTGGGAAGGTGGCTCGGTGGTAGAGCGCTTGCCTTGCATGCATGAGGCCCTGGGTTTGATTCCTCAGCACCACATAAGCAAAAAGAAAAAAGCCGGAAGTAGCGCTGTGGCTCAAGTGGTAGAGCACTAGCCTTGAGCTGAAGAGCTGAGGGATAGCGCCCAGACCCAGAGTTCAGGCCCCACGACTGGACCCCCCCCCCCCAAAAAAAAAGAATTGGGGTGGAAGCCTGCAGTGACAAGATTTGACTGACTTCCTCCAAAGTCCCAACCCTCATATCCTCAGTCACCTGGTGTAGCTAGAAGACTGAAAGGGAGGCATGGGCTGATCCTGACAACAGGTCAAGTAACTGTTACTGATATTTGGTGAGGTTTTGGGTAGATTTCTTGTAGATCTAGTGGAACTAGTTGAGAGTGATCAGGACTTCCTTGCTGTCCACTAGCTACATTGCCAGAGAATTATTTTGATTGGTCTTTTCACAGAACTCCTTAAGTTCTCAGTACTCACGGATCATAAATACATTTTATAACATCTGAGAAATGTGGTATTTCAAAATTCCGTGGAAGACTTAATATTCTTTAAGTGATCTATTATATACACTATTGTTATTGATAGAAACCTTTTAGTACAGATGCTACCACTCCAAGGTAAACTGAAGTGGAAAATCCATTAGTCATAAGTACGATTTCTTTCATTCACATGTCATTCATTCACTCATTCATTCATTGAACAAACATTGTGGAGAACCCAGGACTAGACACTGGTTGTTGTTAGCCATTGCCTCGGTACTCCCTTCAACTCTGACTGCGCAACTCTTACGGCCAGAGTTGGGTGTGCTTACTGCCTAAGGTGCTCATCTGCCCAGATGGCTGCTCAGCCTCCTTAAGCTGACTCTGTAGCTCCTCCACACGCTGGAAAGCATCCAGCTTCACACTGCGCTCCTGGGCAAGCCGGCTTCTCATCTGAGGGGAAAGGAAAGCAGAGGTATTTTGTGGAGCTCATTTTAGTTCCCTTAGATCCTAGGGGGCTTCAAGGGCCTCCGGCTCACCTACAAAGAGCACCAGCTCTTCAGAGTCCTGGGTGAGGCAGAACTCAGGCCCAAGCTTGTCTTTTTGCAAATGTACAGCTTCAGGAAGACCAAGAACGTAACTAGAGGAGCTAACTGTATCATGGCCCGAAGCTCTTTTTTTTTTTTTTTTTTTAATGTTTGTTCACCAGAGGAGTAGAGGAAAGTTAGGGTACCCAGTTAGGGCATGTACAAAGGACCCTCAGGAACAGAAGGGCAGTTTCCAGTATAGACTTGTGTTCTCTCTCTCTCTGTCCCTGTCTCTGTGTGTGTGTGTGTGTGTGTGTGTGTGTGTGTGTGTGTGTGTCATCACTTGCAGCTCAGCATCTTAGAAGTTTCCTCCCAGGGGGCAACCTTTGGATTTCCTTGAGCAGCTTAACCCTTGCATGATTGACCCCCTAACTCTGTAGTTGGGCAGGAGACGGAAGCAAAGTGCACCTCATCAGCATAGGTCATAGATATTTTCTTTTCCTTTGAAAATGATCATTCCTAATCCTTAAAAATTATTTATAAAAGCAATACATGCTGCTGGATGCCAGTGGTTTATGCCTGTGGTCCTACCTACACAGAAGACTAAGATCTGGGGATCATGGTTTGATCATGGCCATCCTGGCCAATAAAGTCTGTGAGACTCATCTCAACAAGCAAAAAGCCGTAAGTGAAGCTATGCCTCAAGTGGTAGGGTTCCAGCTTTGAGCGAAAAAGCTAAGGGAGAGTGCCAGGCCCAATACTGGCACATGTAGACAAAGTAATCTATGGTAGATTGAATCGTGTCTCCTCAAAATTTATGCCCACTGGGAAGCTCTGTGACTTTATTTGGAAACAGGATCTTTGCACATATAATTAAGTTAGGATGAGGGCATACTGGTTTCAGGGTGGGCCTTAAATCTAACGCCTGTTGTCCCTCTAAGAGGATAGGGTAAAGATACCCTCATACCAAGGGACATATAGGGCCAAAGGCTATGGGATGACAGAGCAGAAATGGAGTTATGTAAATGCTAAGGACTGCTAGCTTTCTTTCCCCAGGAGCGCAAAGAGGGGCATGGAATAGATTTTTCCCCAATGCCTTTTGAAGGAACCAATATTGCCAAGATCTCTGACTTCTAGCCTCCTGAACTGTGACAAACCACATTTCTGTTGTGTTCAGTCATCCAATGTGTGGTAATATCTTATGACAACCTAGGGAAATGAATGTACATGCTAATCGCAACAATTCAGTCACACGTGTTTTCAATCCCTACTCCTGCCACATAGACCCAACCAGAAGGTCCCTGTACATGTGCAGCTGTGACCACAGACTGTCCTAACACATTAAAGGGGGATGCTATATGGGGGAGATGCTCTCAAAAGTAAATTTCAGTGGATTTTTCAGAGCAGCAGTGTTAGGGAAACTTGTGAATATAAATTTGGTCCTAAGTCTTCTGTGCTCCAGTACAGTACTGTGCTCCTGGGTGGGAAAACATATCACAATTTCTTGAACCAGACCAAAGTTAAGTATGAGGAATACTAGCAGGGGAAAGAAGCATGCTTACCCAGGACCTACCCTCACATCAGAGATGGGCACAAAGAACTTGATCAAAGTCATTTAACCAGTTACTACTGCCTTTTGAAGGCTTGTCTGCCTTCATAGTCCCAACAAAATTATAAACACTCATGTTTATGGAGAGCTGGGCACCTGGCCCCATTATGTGTTTATTTGAGTTACTTAATTTAATCTTCTCCTGGATCCTATGAAGTAATTATATTATTTCCATTGTACTGATGGCAAAGTGAAACACAGAAAGGCCCAAAGTCACACAGCTGGAAGGCTTGGGAGATGCACAGGCAGCCTCACTTCATAGCTCATGCTGTCAAGTGAGTTCCTCAGGCACCAGAAGCAGGCTGGGGCACTGGTGCTCTCTGAGACTAGACAGCCGTTATCTACCTCTGGAGGCCAAGGCTAGAGAAAGTTTAAGAGGCCACTGCGGCCTATGGAGCTATTGCTGGATGAGCATTATTTGGAGTAGAGAAGCCCATGGACACATGGGCTTTTAGAGCCAGAGCAGTACATTACAGAAGGTCAAATGCTAGCTGGTGGCTCATGACTACAATCCTTGCTACTCAGAAGGCTTAACTCTGAGGATCGAGGTTGGAAGCCAGCCTAGGCAGAAAAGTGCATGAGACTTTATCTCTCACTAACCAGCAAAAAGACTAGGGTGGAAGTATGGCTCAAGCAGTACAGCACCAGCTAAGGGAATAGCGTGAAGCCTCAAGTTTAAACCTCAATACCACCAGCAAATAAAGGCCAGTGGTTTTGACATACATGTGGTATTAATATTTGTTTTGAGTATCTCTAGAATATCTTCCATTAAATAAATTATTAACTAGAGAGAAGTTAGGAGAGCCTAATCTATGAACCTATTTATTTGTCTGGTGGCTTTTAGAAAAGCATATTTGATAGGACAGATATGGAATGCCAACTTTCTTTAGTGGAGTCAATCATATTTTAGTATTTGAAGGAAACATGAAATTCTAATTTTAAAGCTACTGGTTTCCTCTATTTCTACCCAAATGTTTTATTTGGCATTTTCTCAATTCATTTTGTTTTTTTACCATGGAATTCTCTACTGATTTTCATCTTGAACACTTGAAAACCAATAGTTCAATTTAATTTACTTTTCTGTCTCCTACTATTGCTAGTGAATGAATTGAGGACTTTCTTCATCCTTTGGATAAGCATGAAACACCTGTGTAAGGTTTGATTAAATTACATCCTGTGGTTAGGTTTGTTGGCGCTCAGATTAATCCAGTCCCACATTGCTAATCATCCTCTCCCTCCTCCCCCATGGGATGTAGAAATGAATTGTGTGTTCAGACCACTTTGGCCTTTCATGTTTGTCTCTGCATTTCTAGAAACACTTGAATAAAATCCCCTTATTTAGACCCCTAATAGTACTTGATCCTAGCCTCCTGAGTGGCTAGGATTACAGGTGTGAGCCATCAGTGCCCCACCTGTGCTGAATTTTCTAGAGAATCCCAGATCGAAGGTTCAAGTAGGGTGGAAACATGTTCTTCAGGGGTATCAAGGGTGCCATCACAGCTTGCTTGAGCAAACATACCAGGGTAGTCTAAATATGACCAGTGACTAGAATGAGATTGCTCCCAGAGTCCTCTGGTTGGCGCTCACTGGCATGTACCTGGTGAAGTTCGCGCTCCATTTTCTTCTGCTGCAGCTGGCACAGTTTCGAGGCCCTTGCAGCCTCTGCAGTGAGGAGCTGCCATTGCTGTTCTTTTTGCCCCACATCTTCCATGAGCTTCTCCATGCTGGATGTCCTTATGATGTCCAGCTGCTGCCGGGTGATGGCATCTTGGGTTACTCTGTATTCTAATTCCCTCAGCAGCTGAGCCTATGGCAAAGAAAGGCCAAGGAAGCCAAAGAAGGAGCTGAGCCAGGCAGGCAACACATCCACCATTCCCTTCATCCCAGGCAAGGACCAGTCTCTCTCTGCCATATTTCTGGGTTCTAGGTAACAAGCACAACTAGCCTGTCCTGTGCCAGCCTGCAGTGAGGGCTGCAGGATCTAGTCCAGCTTGGCATTATTTTGTGAGCCCTGAGGCAACAAGCCAGGGGAAAATAGAAGGAACAAGCAGACAGAAAACACCAAAGCCTGGCGGGTGATTAAATCAAATAATTTGATGTTAATATATACGTTAATTAGGCATTCACAAATAACCAGACTATCACAAACTACCTGTGGTTTACTGTGGATCTTTACCATGAGGTGTGGCAGCAGAAGGGTTTAGCTGTGGGGACGCCAAATTGTGATACATAAGCAATGAGCGCGAGGAAGGGAGCTTTGGTTTTGCTGTTTTCACTTTCAAAATGGCTGTGGGTTGATAATTTGGTTCTGTCCCAAAGTGTGTCAAATCAGACTCTAAGTACTAGAGGGCTGATTCTTAGTCATAATATTAACACTTATTCATATTTGTATGGTGACTTTAAAGTTTACCAAGTACTTTCCATGACAAATTCACCTGATAGATACTCATACAGGAATTAAGAGGTCAAAACACACAAATTGTTATTTTGTACTTTGAATCTGCCCAGCTTCCCCAGGTTGGGATATAAACCCAGGTGTTCTCACTCTAACTGTAAGACAAATATGGGAAGCCAACTTTTTCTTACTGGCTCAGTCACGTTTCATGTATTTTCATGAACATTCCTGCCCAGAGGGTTAACACAGTTATAAGAAGTTCCTACTTAAAACCTCTTTATTTTAGTGCCAACATCCATGGAGTAGTAGTGGCTTCTGAAGGTAAGACTGGATGTGGATCCTTAGGGGAGGACCTGAGACTCTCAAGACATCTCAAGACTCAGCTTGGGGTCTAATCTGCGAAGCTGGACCATGCTCCTGAGGCATAGTAGGACCAACCTCTTCTGGGACACTGAGGCAGAAGTTATCCCTAATGCTGTGTTAAATACTGCCAAATCACTTGTAATATTAATGTCTTTATTGTAAGCAACACTTCTCAATATTTAATTTCCCTTTAAATAAGCTAAGGTGTTGGGGGCCAGAGCAATTTGACTCTCTAACTGAACACTGATGTTAGATTCTTGTCTTATGTGCAGGACTAACTCCAAGTAGCTAGCTGGATGCCTTCATGTCAGGTGTATGCTTTGAGTCTTCCATGGATAGCTTGAGGAGGCCATGAAGCTACGTTGCAGTTACCTTGCAGCTATGCCTGTTACAAATAGCTTGCTTACAACCAAACCTTTTGCCATCACAAGACCTGATAAACTCTAGATGTCCCTGCAATCATTTTTACCCAGGCCAGAGGAAAGCACTTGCCCTGGTGGCCCAGCAGAAGGCCTGTGATTGATGCAAATACTTGCCTTCATTTGCATGAAGGTCTTCTGTGATTGGTATAAACACAGTCCTTAATTTGCATGAAATTCTGCTATGAAAGTTGCAAACACCCTTGGCATGTCTCCTTTCTGGTTATATAAGAAGGCTTACTTTGTGAGCTAGCTAGGAAATACACTCCTATGGTGGCTTCTAGTATTACATCATTTAGGATCCTCCTAAAAAAAAAGGGTTCTTTCATGTGATTTTTTTCTTGCTTAGTTTTGATCTTTATCATTAGCAGAGCTACTGCACTGCTAACATGAAGAGAAGATAACAGAAAAAGAAGCAAAAAGGTAGCAGCAGCTAAGGTGGTGATAATGAAGGCAGTGGCAGAGGAAGCAGCAGCAACAAGAGCTGTAGTGATAAGAAGACACTGAAAAGTTTCAGAAAGCAAGCAGGGCAGAGATGACCGGGAGCAGAGAAGAGGAGCCAGTGAGGGCTGTAAAGTTTCAGAACCCAAGGCCTGAATGAAAGCTGTAACTATTAGAAAGTACCACCTGCTATTACCTGCTGCTGTCTGCTGCTGCCACTCTATTCTTCTAGATGCTGAGGATTATAGTAGCTGCCAAGTGACAGGCCACTGGTAGTTAAACCCTAGAATGATAGGCCTCCAACCCAAGTGTCTAGTACCCTAAAGCTCTGGCTTCTAAAGCCTGGATTAGTAGGCCCTTGCTGCTCAATGGCATGAGGCCATAGGCCTTTGGATCCCCAAGTTGAGGCCTTGGGCACTCAAGGGCCCAGCACTGCTGGCACTGGACTGAAAGTGCTTCTCACTTACCCATGATTTCTATCCGTGTAGAGAAAAAGCCTACCTCCCCTGCCAAGTCAGCTGACTGATAGGACTCCCAGGCAGAAGTTGCCGCGTATAGAGAATGTGCTTGGTCTACAGAAAGCCAATATTGGAGGCAGAAGTTGAGGGCCAAAGACATCCTCTAATATGAGGATCCTCAGAAACACGCACACATGCACTCATGTGAGTGCACGCACACTCAGATGATCGTGCATATGAGTAATATTTTATCATCATAGCCAAGTATGAGTAAGGAGACAAGCCTCTTGGTCACTGCCCTTGGTTTCTGGGCTGGAAAGGAGGAGAAGGGAAGCCAGGGGCAGAGCCATCTTTTCCTGGCTCTGCTCTCAGATGGGGGTTCCTTGTGGAGCTCTGATGACTGCTCCTGGCATCTGTAGTGCCTTCGTGTGGCCATGCTCAGCTTAGCAGGCTGAGAGGGGGAGGAGGAGGCACGGAGGCTTCTCAGCTACCTGGATGCCCTGCTGCTTCCGCAGCCTCCCGCTGTCCGCCTGGGCCTTGGCCAGGGCCTGCCGGAGAGCCAGCAGTTGTTGACGAAGTAAACCCACTTCCTGTTCTGCCATGAGCTTGATGCGCAAACACTCTTTTTTACTTTGAATAGATTCCTGTAAAGAGTTCAAGCACAGGAAGGTAGGAAATGACTTTCTGTTCTATAGTCTTAGTTTCACAAGTAATATCCAAACTCCTTCATCATACATCTTTCTTTAAAGCTTCCTGTAGCCTATAGGATGGAGCTCTTGCTGGGATATTAATTAAGAATACAGTGACAGATCAGACTTTCAGAAACAAACAGTAAATGGAAGTTTCCAAACACTAACGATATATGCTTTGCTTTCACTTTTTTTTTTGAGGGGATTGTTTATTGTCTATTATATGCATATATATATATGTAAGCATATATGTACACATGCTTTCAGTTTTCTTTTTTTTTTTCTTTTATTTTTTTCCCACTCTCCCCCCTCCCCCCCACCCAATCATACCCCCCCCCCCCTCCTGCTTTCAGTTTTCTTTAAAGCAGATTTCCCACCTATTTTGTTACTTCATTTCCCTCAGACTATCATGCCTGAAATCCCCAAATAGGCAATCGTCTGACAAAGAAATCTTAAGCTCTTGGTAAATCTCTCTTTCATCTTTTCACTTCCCTTGTGTTCCATTCTCTGATCTGTTCTCCCAAGCTCTGACATTGCCTAGTGCCATAAAAAAATGGTCAACTGTGAGATTCTTCAGTAAGGCTGGCCCTGCCACCTGCCACCAGTGTGGCAGCTGCGTTCAGCTCGGCTCAGGAGCATCTCTGGGGCTCTCTCTCATTCTCACCTTCTCTGCCCTGCTCAGCTGGCCCTGGAAGCGAGCCTGCTGCACAGCTAGCCGCCAGCGGTCCAGGCTCCTCAGTTTGCATACCAGGGCTGCCAGGTGCGCATTGTCCCGCTCTAAGGCCCACAGCTGCTCCTGCCAAGAAGGATCAATTTCAGAGAAGGCCACCCCAACCCTTTTCCCAGGAAGATATACGTCAAAAGCCTGCTTTCCATGACTGTGCGGTGAGCCTCAGTTCTGCTCACTTAAAAATATCTACTCCCTTAGAGGAGAAAGCAGTTGTAACATTCAATGAACTTTCCTATGAAACTAGGAAAATTGTCAGGATGGGTGAGGTTGGGAGGAATGGGGGAGAATAATGAGAGGGGTGATATTGATCAATATGCATAAACTCATAAACTGACATATTGAAACCCCTTTGTAAAACTACTTAAAGATAATAAAAACAGACAGGGGCTGGTGGCTCAAGCCTATAATCTTAGCTACGCAGGAGGCTGAATTCTCAGGATCATGGCTTGAAGCTAGCCCAGGCAGGAAAGTCCATGAGACTCTTATCTCCAACAGCAAAAACGCTGGAAGTGGAGTTGTGGCTTAAGTGGTAGAGCACTAGCCTTGAACAAAGTAAGTCAGAGATAGCACCCAGTATCTGAGGTAAAGCCCCAGGACCAGCACAAAATAAAATTAAATAAAAATCATCTCCCCTATTACTTTCTCAGGGCCACCAAGCCTGGGTTGTTGGTTAATCAGGTAAACAGTGGGCCAAATGCTGGGATGAGCCACTGATAGCCCATTGCTAAATGAACTCACGTACTTTGGCTGGGCTTTCTTTTATTCCTTCTTCAGGCCTGGCAGAGCCCCATTTTTGCTTGAGCTCCTTCATATTGGCGATCCCTTCTGTTCTCACTTCTCTGATGAGCTCACACACTTTCTGGATCAAATTAAGCTGATTCTCATCGAGCTTCTCCTGCAAATTGCAGACTCAGGTCAAGCAAGTATCACGGGGTTGGGTGGTGTGAAGGGCAGTGGAGGAAGAGCTATTTTGCCTACCATTTGAAAGCAATGTCACATTGAAATATCCTCCAACCAGTTTTTCCAAGAAGTATTATTACATGGGATTCACCGAGTAAGCCTTGAGAATTGTCTTTAATCCATTGGGCCTCATCACTTGGCCACCTGCACATCCTTGAGCGTGCTTTGATTGGCAGCCCCAAGGTGAGTAGAACAGGGAGGACAAGTGGATCAAATAGTGGGAGGTTGCAGAGAAAACCTGCTGACTGAATTGCCCCCCTGGGCAGGGTTACTTGGGAAAGTTGAGCTGAAGGCTTTTACTGCCAGGTTGACTCAGAGCAGAATCAGTCCAGACAATACCCCATAGATGAGCTACTACCCAGGAACTCCACGAAATGCAGATAAGTGGAGGAAGGAATCAGGCAGGCTGTCTTCCTATTTAGATTCCAGCAGAAATGTTCTGTTCTGAATAGCTCATGGCTTACCATGAGACAGCTGCCATCTCAGTGCTATGGACTGAATTGTGTTTCCTCCCAAATTTACAAATTGAGACCTTGAGCCCCTGAATGACAGTGTCTGGAGATAGAAGATCTTTAGGAAGTAACTAAGGTTAAAATGCGGTCACAGGGGCAAGTTCCTATTCTAATCAGATGGTGGCATGGTAATAAGAAAACCACAAAAAGGCATCTTTCTCTTTTCTCTGCCATGTGAGGACACTGGAGAAAGGAAGCCACCTGCAAATCAGAAAGAGAGGCCTTACAAAAAACACACTGTGCTGCCACCTGCTCTCCAAATTCCAGCTTCTAGAACTGTGAGAAAATGAATTTCTGTTGTGTAAACCATTTGTCTATGGCATTTTGCTATGGTAGTCTGAGAAGATAAAGACATCCTGGGAGTACCCTTTCATCTCTAAATCAATTCCTCAGAAAAGAGGCGGGGGGGGGGGGCAGCTGGGCAGTTGGCCACACAGTGGAAGCTTCACCATCTTCTTGAGACCTTGGAGTGGGACAGGGAATCTCTATTTTGGAAGGCTTAATAGAACTACTTCTGCTTGGAGAAGTCAAGTCAGGAAACCAGGTCAGAGCTAAAAGAAACCCAAGAAGAAACCCACTTAGAAGATTGCTCAACAAATTTCAGCCCTCACTCCTCATGTTCTCCTCCAGCACCAGGTCCAGAGCATTTTGTTTTGATCTTTTAATATTTTCAAGCACTTACACTTTGCAAGTACAAAGAAATATCTCTTATTTCTGCAATGATTAGGCCAAGACAGAACATTGGTGGGTAACAAAAACTCTAGAGACCATGCTAGAACCCCCAGGGAGGTATAAATAGGTGAGAGCCCAAGTTGGGCTGGCTTTGGGGTGCATCAATAGCAAAGGAGGTGCAGGACTTGGGGAACTGTAGTCTTGTAAGAAAGTCTCTATTTCAGGACAGCTGAACCAAGCTCCCACATTCATCTGTTTGAGGCATGAAGAATCATCTATCTTCCAGTTGCTCAGACATCTAAAGAAAATGACTGGCTTCCACAGTGCTTAGGTATAAGGGAACTTGTCACTCCCATTCTGAGGTGGCTCTTGGTTAACAGGTCAACAGCTCCCTGATATAGGATGTAAAAGGCTGAAGAATGTGTTAGAGTTGGAAAAAAAAAATCATGGAAAGCTGTTTCAGTCCAGCGCGCTCTCAGGAGGTGGTACTACCTACTCCACTGGACTTTGGCAGAGCCTGGGAGCACCAGGCTGGTTCATTTGAGTGGTGGGGGTTTGGAGTAGAATGGCCTCCTCCCAACAACTACCAGATGGCAAGTGTGGGCAACTAGCAATAGAGTGTGAAAATAAACAGCTACAGTGTCCAGTGTCAGACACGAGAGAATAATGTCAACCCACTGCAAACTGTTTCTCTCTCTCTCTGAAGCAAAAACTTACAGCTGGAAAATTCTTGGGCCAAGTGCCATCTGTCACTAATTCAGCCATAGTTCTGAGAAGGCCACTGACAGGGGACACTTACTTTTATGTGTAAACAGGTCATAAACAAAGCTTGGACCAATGATTCGTATTCTTCTTGGACTTCTTTTCGACTCTGCTTTCTGAGATTCACATTCTCTTCTTCCAAGTCTGTGAGTTGGGCTCTCAGAGCAGTGATTTCCATGATCATGTCATGACTGAGCTCTGCAACCTAGCAACAGAAATACATGTATGAAAAACAATGTGGGAGCTCCCAACCGCAACTGTAAAGTAGTTCCTTATAGATGACGATCGAATCTGCCCTTCTTTTAGACTCTAATGGTGAAAATGAATATCTTGCTGCACAAATGTGGGCCAAAGAGTCTCGGGTTGGTTCGAAGCTTCCAGAACAGTTGCAAAACTGTTCTAGATGAGATGAAGAGCACATGATGAGTGGCCACAGAAGAAATGCTATTTAAGCACTTTTCAGTTGAAAGCAATTCAACTGTCTTGGCTTTCCTTAACACATCAGCCCAAATACCATTCCATTTCGGAATGTATTTAAATTGACCTTAAAAGAAAGGAAACAACTGTCACAAAATTCTCTCAAATTACAACAAACACCTCCAAACAATACAAAATAACAAAAACACCCCTCTCAAAAGGAAAGAAAAACACTCAAGAAAAAATGGCCCTAAGAAGGATTGTTTACAAGAAGTAAAAGTATATAACTTGGGTATTTCTGAATGGACTGTTAATGATGGGATTTTTACAGAGGACTCAAGTGAACGATGTTCAGAAGTCCCACTTTGTGTGTGTGTGTGTGTGTGTGTGTGTGTATGTGTGTGTGTGTGTGCTGGTCCTAAGGCTTGAACTCATGGCCTGGGCACTGGCCCTGAGATATTTTGCTCAAAGCAAGTAGTCTTCCACTTAAACCAAAGCTCCACTTATAGCTTTTTGGTGGTAAATTGGAGGTAAAACTCTCATGAACTTTCCTGTCTGGGCTGGTTTTGAACTATGATCCCCAGATCTCAGCCTCCTGAGTAGCGAGGATTACAGGCATAAGCCACTGGTACCCAGCTTCTGGAAGTCCCACTTCTGATGAACTCTGAGAGTCTGGAGGTAAGAATGGAGAAGAAAGCCTTTTTAGTAATTGACCTACCTGACCAGCATGGTCTTCGGGTGGAACTGGACTTCTTTGTAGCACCTCTAATTCCTGAGGAGAAAGCAGGACACAATTCAACTCAAACATTTGTTCCTCTAAACATATTTCAGTTCAATACAACACATAACCCAAACCTGCTTGTGTAAACAAAGCCTCGATCCTGAGATCCACAGGTCCCATCTGAAATGGAGACTATGCTTATCTTCAGGGTTTCTAGCACAACATCAACCACACCTTGCACTTCCAGGTTTCCACACAGAGACAGAGAACCCAGTTATGGAGATAAGCCTACATGAAGGCAAATCCAAGACTCATCATTGGATTTTTTTTGGCTAGTCTTTGCAAGATATGCCTTTTGTCAGATGTAAATTAATATTATACAGAGCAGCTGATGAAATCTATTTCAAAACAATGCATAACCTAGGAGAGGAGGAGAGACTCTTGGATCCTACCAGTGGGGTCTCCTTTTAAGGAGGTACCATCAGTGGTCTGACCCCTGTTATACATCCTAAAGTTTCCTCAAAAACCCTGGCTTATTTGCTAGATCGACATCTTTGTGTTTGTTAAGAGAGGGAAGATCTTCTATGTAACTTCCTCAGCAAAGAGGTCCAGCCTACCTGTTGGTGACCTCTTGCATTGCCCACTGGACCCTTCCAGAACACACTAGTGAGTACTGTTGAGGCCTTAGGCTCTGCAACAGCATATTACAACACAAGAACATAAACCAAGGGGAAGAGAAATTTGGAGTATCTTTCTTCCTCAGTTCTTGCATAGGAACGGATTCCTTTATCACCCCTGCTTAGCTTTTTTTCCCGTCTGCCCTTATGAGTGACTCCTGGCCTCTCCCTCCCCCTCTGCAGTTCCTTTCTCTCTGGACATGTACCTGCTCCTTCTGGCATAGCTTTTGCATGACATGCTGCAATACATGCTCATAACACATGGAGTAGGTCTCAAAGTTGCTGCGTTCTCTTGCCATCACATCACAACCCAGGGAAAGGAGGCAGGTCTCCAGGTGGTCTCTCCTGAAGGTGATCTGAAAGGGCAGGGGCATCATTGTCAGCAGCTCCAGCAGGATTCCTGGCAGCCTCGCCACACGAGAGCTTGGTGCTGTCCTGGCGCATATACTGGCTTTCATTTCATCTCTTGCAGTACAACATTGGCTCTGGTCTTGCAGTCGTTCCTAACTCTGCTCAGAACATTTGCAGGGCCAGAGCACAAATGGAGACTTGCCTACCATATGTCTAAATGCTTAAAGCTTATAAACCAGTTTTTTAAAAGGCCTATTAAAATGTAATGTTTCAAAATGTGGTGCATGGAAGGCCAGGTTTGAAATTATTATTCAGAGATGATTCTGAGTTCTATGCTTAAATCTGGGGAGAGCTCATTTCCCAAGTTTACATCATGATCCCCCCTTCTCTTAACCTCTGGCTGCACATCCTGTCATGAGGGCTCCCACATGCTGTGGGTGACAGAACTCCACCCACTCTTCTTCACAGCTTTCCTCCAGCCACCTCCACACATCATAGGTGTGCTCATCCAAGTAAAGTCTATGCTCATTCTGAAGAAGATGACAGGAAGGAGACTCTTGGAGACCTTGCACTTGGAGAACTCCAGGAGTGTGATCCAGAAAGAAGGCCAGGCCTTGAGTGGACAAGTCCCTGTGACTGAGGGGATTTCTTATCTTGCAGGTAGAGGCAGGACTTCAGGAGGGCCAGAGAGAGGCTCTCTGAGAGACAGGGATGTGGTAGTGGGCCCTCTCTCAGTTCTAAAGACTAGAAGACACACTTCCTCAACACTTCCATTTGCTCTCTCTGGACTGGATATGCCCTTTGGAGAGGTAGCCCTTAAGGAACAGAGGAACAGTCTACCTACCTGCCTTTGGAGAGAAACAGGAGATAGTATGTAGGAGGTAGGAGGTAGGACAGAGCTACCCCATCAGGTCATTGAAACTCAAATCACAGTACTTGTGCAAACAGATGGATAGTCTTTATATTTTTCCAACAAAAATTGATATAGGTTTATTAACAAGGAAAGATACAACATCTAATCAAGTGAAAAAAGTACATTATAGAAAAAAGGTGGTAGACAATAATCTTACTTTATAAATAAAGAGTACATGAATAGAAAAAAGGTTATGAATAAAGTGTGGGGAAGAAATATGCCAACATATTAAAAGAAGTCTTCCATGAGCAGTGAGATTCCGAGTGTATTTTCTAAAACATCATTGCTTTGGTTTAAATATGAAACATCCCCCAGAGGCTCCTATGTTGAATTTTGGGTCCCAAGCAGATGGTGTTATTTTAGGATGAGGTGGTGGAAACTTTGGAGGTAGTGCCTAGCTGGAGGAAGTGAGTCACTGGGGGTGTGCCTATGTCTTTGAGGATTTTATCTGGTCTCCATTTCTCTTTCTGCTTCCTGTCCATCTTGAGGTGAAGAAGCTTCTGTTACAGTGATGATCTGCTCAAGAATATGGGACCAAGAAACCATGCATTGAACTCGGAAGCCATAAGCCCAAATAAATCTCTCCTTTAAGTAATTCTCTCAGGTATTTTGGTTACAGTTACACAAAAGCAAATAATACAGGAAAATGGTAGCAGAGAAATAGAACTGTTGTTGTGACGAACAGATCATATGGTTCTTAAGCTTTTAGAAATCATTTTTGGAAGGACTTCGGGAGAGTTTGGAGAATTGTCCTGGAGAAAACCTAGAAGGTGGTAAGCTGAGCTTAATGGGCAATTCTGGTGGGAGCTTGGAAGACCAGAATGTTTGACAGCAATGTGTGGTCAGTTAATGACTGTGCTTATAACCATTGAACAGGAACTGTTACTGGGAACTGGACTAAAAGCCATTTAAGTTACAGATTTAAAGTAATGGACTAATTAACAAATTTCAAGACAGCACAGCCTTTAGTCTATGGTGTGGATATTGTTGGCTGCTTTTATCCAGGTTTACAGAGAGATTAGGGAACAAAAAACAGAGGAAAAAAGATTCAAAAGAAGTGTAGTTTGGCTGGAAAAAGAACTTTACAGTGCAGACTAGGAGGGCATGCTTGTTCAAAAGATTAGTGACATTAAAAAGAAATCAACTAGTTTGTACCAGGACAATAAAAAAGGGTGCCTTGAGGGCATCAGCCATCCCTCCCTCCCCATCAGGATTTAGCAGGTAAGGTTATTATTCATTTGAAAGGCTTTTCTTTGAGCAGAGAGATCCAGAACAACTTGCAAGTATTGGGCTGCCTAGGAAAGTGCTCAGTTGCAGCCTTCGCCCCAGGGGGCTGATGACTGACCACGCTGCTGACAGACCTTGGCATCAGTCATGCCATGCTAGTTTTGTGGGCATGAAGAAGGCAAAATGTTTTGGGGTCATGGAGTTTTCTACACAGATTTCAAATGAAGGCTTTGGAGACCAGACAATGTTATAGGGTGGAAGTTCCTGCAGGAAGTTCATGGAGAGGGTGAAGCATGACACTTTGAGAGAATCAAAGTGGCAACGGAGACTGTAGGATGTTGGAGATGCTAAGAAAGTGGAATATCAGCCCAGGACAGCTAAAGATGATGAGAGAGGGCCTGATGAGAGGGCCTGAGGGCTTCAAAAATTGGGCACAAAAATTGCCAGACATTAGCTGGGCTCAGGTGGCTCACGCCTGTAATCCTAGCTACTCAGGAAGCTGAGATCTGAGGATTGCGGTTCAGAGCCACCCCGGGCAGGAAAGTCCATCAGACTCTTATCTGCAATTAACCACCAGAAAACTGGAAGTCGCACTGTGGCTCAAATGGTAGAACACTTGAACTTAAGAGCTGAGGGACAGCACCCAGGCCCAGAGTTCAAGCCCCATGATGGACCAAAAAAAGAAAATTGCTAGACACAGAGATGAATAGGACTTACTGTTTTCCCTGATGTCTTTTGAATTTACTTTAGTTCCATTTGTCCAGTCTGTACCTCATTCCTCCCTTTTGTGATGGGAATGTTTACGCTGTGCCATTAACTTACTTTTGAATTTTATAGGGACAGACAGCTAAAAGACTGTCTTAAGTATCGATAAAGACTCTGGACTTAGGTTTTTGAACAATGTTGGAGCTGTTGAGACTTTGGAGACTCTTGGAAATGGACTAAAAACATTTTGTGTTATGAGACGTTGGAGCTCAGGGGTGGAATGTTATTGTTTGAATATCAAATGTCTCATAGCCTAAATCGTTAAATGCTTGGTCCTCAGCTGATGGTACTATTTTGGGTGCCAGTGAAAACTCTGGGAACTGGAAGAAGTGGGTCAACTGGGAGTGATCTTCTTTCCTTCCTTCCTTCCTTCCTTCTTTCCTTCCTTCCTTCCTTCCTTCCTTCCTTCCTTCCTTCCTTCCTTCCTTCCTTCCTTCCTTCCTTTCTCCCTTCCTCCCCCCTTCTTTTTCTCCCTTTCACACTCTTCTCCCTCTCCCCACTGTGAAGTGAGCAGCCTTCTCCTCTACTTGTTTCCATTCCCATGATGGTCTAACTTAAATACATATGGCCAAGAAAACATGAACTGTCTTTGAGCTAAAATAACTTCTTCTTGCCTTCAGTTCTTACATCAGATTATTCAGCACAAAAACCATAAAGCTAACATAATCATATTTCTACTTTATAATACAATCATAGCACACACATATCCTAGATAACTATTTAAATCAAATGCATGCATGAATTAACATTGTGTTATTTGAAAGTCTTCAATTATATCAGCATGATAGGATGCAATACTCCCCAACTTACTCTCCTTCCCTCAAGGGGACCCTTAGTGACTGAAATTAATGATTGGGACCTACCCCTCCCTAGGACACTAGGATAGTAGTTAAACAGTATTAGAACACTGTTTGTTACATTGTTAAAGAACTGCTATATAAAAGGCTCTGTTGTATACACTCTTAAAAAGTGCTTTGACTCAACATAAGACCAATTGCTATGACTGTCACTTCTCCCCAGGTGGAAGGCACTTTTGGTCCAGTAGAACTGTGGTTAGTGCAAATATAATCCTTTATGTGCATAATGGATTATCTCATGATTGGAGCAAACATGAGCACTATTGTGATTGGTATAGATGCCTTTGTCCCTGCCCCCTTCTAGCTATATAAACAGTCACTTTGTGAGTAAATTCTTGCTGTTTTGCTAGTTTTATCAGGTCCCAATGAAGTCTTTTCAGTGCTCTTGCTAGTTACATGAAGAAAAAGAAGAGAGAAGCAGTAAAAGTTCAGGAAGAAAGCTTTTCTGGTATCTGGGCAGCAGCAAAGCCAACACGTTGAGCAGTTGAGTGGCCTAGACAAAACTGACAGGAGTGGAGGGGATGGGCCGTGGCTGGCAGCAGAGAATACTGCCACCGGTCAGCATTTGTTAGTGTAGAACCTCCTCCCACTGTGGGGGCTATAGCACTTAGGGTACTGAACATTGTGTGCCATGTGCTCAGCTGTTACATGCCTCAAGTGCAAACTCCAAGGTGTGTCTATTGTCTTAGTTGTTTAAGGCCTAGCACTGACTATCACTACCCACCATCATTCACTAAGTTGCCTGAAAATATCTAACAAGAGCCTGGAATAACTGGAGGAACTTTTCACCTACCTATGATTTCTATCTGGGTGGGGGAACAAAATTCCATCTAGCTGGTTTGTACCATGGGTGGGATAAGGCAGCGTAGGGAAAGCAGGGCACCCTGTTCCCATTATTCTGACAAATGAGCACCAGGACAGCCCTGTTTAGCTGCTGACACAGGGCATAGGGAACTCAAGACCTCTCTCCCAGAAGTTGACATCCTTGAGGAGAAAAGGACTCAGCCTTAGTAATGACAATGGAACTGTCTTGGTCTGACTGTAATGAAAGCCTGAAGCCAGGAGAAGTCACAAGACCATATGGAAGCCAGCAAGGGTGTGGCTAGTGACCTCACCCGAGCCCAGCTTTGAGCCAGCCACAGTGCCTCATTCTCTATGGTCCTGGGCATGGGTGCCTGGACATTGGCGTGCCCACAGATCCCCCACTGGGTCTCTTTAGCAGGTCAGTCATGTCTCAAGTGGACACCACCACAACCCTGCTGACAGCTGCACCATTACAGCCCTCTGCTATCTTTTTAGCCAGCACTCTCTGGGTAGCTCTGTTGAGTCTTTAGAAAATGGACATGTGGGGCGGGGGGGGGGGGGGGGGCGTCTATGATCAGCTTAAGAATAGCACACAGGGCATGAAGGTGGAAGTGGGGAGTGAACACAAACTGGGGAGAACACCAAGTTAACCTCATTTCCTTTTCTAATGCTCTGCCTGAGCATCCGTGCTCGGCATGGAATGGGAAGTAAGTCTGAGGTGGGGCACATGGGATGTTGCGACTGCGAAGTGGGGGAGAGGGGCAGTGGGAGAGGCTCAGGCACTGGGCCTTCCAGAAACAGCATTTGAAGTTATCTGAGCAATCTCTGCTGGAATACAGTGGTTTCAGTTGGCACACTCTTTGGAGCTCTCAGTAATCCACTCCTGTCTTACTGTTCACTGTAAATGTCACCTCTCCTTGTGTCAGAATGCAGTAGGAATGGGCTTCATCTGATCACTTTCCTTCCAAGGCTCTGGGTGGCATGAGAGCTGAAGTCAGCCCTTGGACTCAATTCTGTGCAGTGCACAACCCCATCCTCCTCTGGGAAGACGGTCACTATTGTTAAACCTGAACTCTGACAGGTAGTGCTGGCTGGAAGAGCATCAGATTGCTCCACAGATTCTTCCAGACAACCAGACTAGGGTGGAGCATGGCAGATGCCAGACCTTATTAAGATCCTGGTTCATGGTAGAGTCCCCTATGCCAATTTGTTTACTCTAAGATCCAGACAGGCATTTGGGAATGCCTGTTTCTAAACCACTCAGCTTGCTGACAATAATTTCATAACTTTCCACTGATTCTGGGATAAAAGGCAGACCCTTGAGAATGGTACACAAGGCACTCAGCATCGAGTTTGTCCCTTTAGTATTCTTCCTTTTTTTTCTGCTATGTTCCCTTCCTAGATCACCCTGCCTTCCCTCCCCTGCTTCCCTCCATCCAGTCAGCTCCTACTTATGCTTCAAGATTTGGCCCCCACACAAAGTCTTCCAGGAAGCATGGGTGGGTCCCCCTTCTCTGAGCTCACTCTGTGCTCAGTGCCTGCTCTCGCAAAGCACTCATTCCTTTTCTGGACATTGCTGATTCACCAAACTGTCTCCACAAGTTCTTTGGAGGCAGGGATCTTGCCTCTTGCCTTTACATCTCTAATAAAAGAGCTTGAAAAGTAGGAAATCTGCAAATGTTTATTTGCTGAATGAATAGAAGATTCTTGGCATATAAGTGGCAATGGTTCTGGAATTCACAAAATAGGTTATTATAGTTAGTTTGCAATATATGGTACAAAATCAGGGAGAGATACTAGAATGACTATGAAAAGCTGGTGTTCTAGAAATTGGAGATAGAAGCAAAGATCATAAGAAGCCTGCATGGGTTCCAGAAAAGTAGCTGGGATTAACTTTGTGTTCTCAGGAAATTAAGCAGATGTAGTACCCCTGGTTTTCAGCAGGACATGGAGAAGGAAAGCCAGGAGGGCCTGGGCTGAGTGGCCGTGCAAGCTGGATGAGCTTCTGGCCTCTGGAAAGCTGAGCAGGAAGATCTGAAGCATGGGCTTGGGGCCTGTGCTCTCGCCACTGCTACTAGTGACTTAAACAAAGCTACCGAGGGAAGATTGACCTTAACTTGAAATGTGGAAAAAGCACATTGGATAACAATAATCCAGCTCTCAAGAGGTCTACAAAGGACTGGGACTATGGCTCCAATGGTAGAACATGTGCTTGACAAGCGCAAGGCCTTGTCTGTGTTCAAACTCTAATGACACTCAGAACCAAAGCAAACAACAACCAAAAAGAGGCCTAAAGGTGGACCAAACGTAGTAAGAAAGAAGCTGTTAGTAATGGCAGTGGTGGGTTTCAGGTGACAGCTGGATGAGTCAGCTATGGCACAGCTGCCAAACCCAGCACATTCATAGGCCCTAATCCAAGTGAAACATCCAAGGTCACTTTGCTGCCAAACTACCTTGAAGGTAAAGAAGGCTAACCCGGGTGGGAAGGATGCGGCTACAGAATGTGGAAGCAAATGGAGATGGCTTAGTCTGCAGAAAGGAGGGCAGCTAAGTGAGGCCAAGAGGTGCTTGTGCAGCTGACCCTGCTCAGAGGCTCTGGGTGAAGAGCCCTCCACTCCATTTTCCATTCCATGTGTCCTGCAGTGGAGCACCATCTGAAGGAGAGTGAACAATGTGTGATCTACCACCCAGAGGGGCATCTCTTTCATTTGTCTATTCCAGAATAGACGACTTGTAACGTACAGCCTTTGCCCACACTAGTGATCCTCTATTGAGCTTTTCTGATTGAATTGCCTCAGACATCTGAAGGCTTGTTTTTAAGGATTAGACTGGGATCTGTGGTGTCTCGGGGACACAAAGAATCCATGATGGAAATGGATATGAGAGGCCGAATCTAGGATAGTTTTCCAGTCCCTACAGATGACAAGAAGAGGCCACCGACAATGGAGGGGTCCAGTATACAGCAGTCCTGTGATAATGGTATGGATGACACCTATCCCTTCAAGTGTTCTCTGAATCTCAGAGATTGAGTTATATTTAATATGGGTCTGCCTTGCCTAGGAATGCCCACATTTCTTTTCTATAAGGTCTTATTCCCAGTCAGGTGTGGTAGCATAGACCTGTAATCCTAGCACTTAGGAGGCAGAGGATGGAAGATGGAGATAAGAAATCAGTCTAGCAACATAGTTTAAGTCCAGCTTGAGTTATATCGTGAGACCCTGTCTCAAAAATTAAAACAACAACAACAAAACATTCTTCAAGGTGGGGAGAGAGGGGCTGAGCTGAAGCTGAGTCACAAAATTATTGCTTTTTATTACAGGAAAAAATAAATAATATAAATTTGTCATTTGAACTATAATAAAAATGGAATCACATGGAATTTGTCCTTTCACTTCTGGTTCATTTTACTTGGTATATGTCTTCAAGGTTCACCTATGTTGTAGCTGTGTTAGCATTTCTTGTTTCTTAAGGCAGGCCACAGCAGTTTGCACAAACACTTCTGAGCATGCCCAGTCCTAAACACCCTCTTCAACTCACAGATGCAACCACTTCACCCCAGAGCACAGTGCACAGTGTCATGTTCGTGTGAAAGTAAACAAATATATGTAAGTCATTAAGCTCTGAGGAAAAAATATCCCCAGCCAAGCCTGGAAAGTCTCTACCTCATCATTAAGAACTGACCTATTTATTATAAAAGTGAAGAACATTTTCCAAAATTTAGAATAATACAAACTTGGAGACAGCAATGTGTTTTTTTTAATGAGCAGAGCTTTCCAGGAGAGTTAAACCTTTTGTATAGTGTTTGTTGTTGTTGTTTGAGAAAGAGTTTACTATGTAACCCAGGCTGGCCTCAAACTCGAATCCTGCCTCTAAATTCTGAGGGTTGGGAATACAGGCATGCACTGGCATACTGGGAAGACAGATTTTTCTTTTTAATAGTCAAGTTTTGGACATTCAAACTTGCTGAAAGCACTTACTCATAATCATAAAACTGCTATGTCCATACATCTGTGCTTACTCTCTTATCCTGCCTTTTCAACGGGTTCTTTTGCTTTAGCAAACACTTCTAGCCTAGGGTAATCATTCTTCACAACTCCAAGGATGGTGTGTATGAGGGTGTGTATATGGTAAGTACTTATCATTAAGGTAGTTGTTATGGATTCAAGTACATTTCTGGAAGGATTTACACAAAAATTATTGATGCAGCTTCTTAGTGGAGGGAACTAGGGATACTAGCATGAGGAAAATATGAAATGTTATCCTTCTATGCTATTGGCTTTTTAAATAGTGTACATTGAAAAATGTTTTCTAATTATAAGTAGTATAGGATGTTTTGATTTTCCTCTTTTGAATTTCTTTTGTTTATTTTCTTATTTTTTTCCTCTTTTGAATTTCTATACTAACAAATCAGAAACTGAAAACGATGCTAAAACCAAGTTGAAAAATTGGGAAATTTTGAAATTTGCCCACATATATTTTTAACACATATTTATAGACAGTACTATTAAATGTAATAAATGACTGCCATTGAAATTCAGCCTAAGTATTCATACCATTATGTTTAACAAATAAGGGAAGCAGTAGAAGATGCATAAAAAAAAAGAAGAAGAAGCTGGGCACTGTTGGCTCAGGCCTGTAATCCTAGCTATTCAGGAGGCTGAGATCTAAGGATCATGGTTCAAAGCCAACCTAGTCAGGAAAGCTGTAAGACTCTTATCTCTAGTTAACTAATGAACAAGCTGAAAGTGCAGCTGTGGCTCAAGTGGTAGAGTACTAGCCTTGAACACAAAAGCTCTGGAATAGTGCCCAGTCCTGAGTTCAAGCCCCAGGATTAGCACAAGAAGCAAAAGAAGCAGCGGCAGCAACAGCCAGGTGCTAGTAGTTCATGCTTGTAATCCTAGCTGCTTAGAAGGCTAGACCAGGAGGATGAGGTTGGTGGTTCAAGGCAAGATTAGCCAAAAATGTCCATGACTCCCATCTCAACAGTGGAAGTGAGGCATGATGGGGCATATCTGTCATCTTAGCTATGACAGGAAGTCTAAAGAAGGTAGATTGTGGTCTAGTACCTAGACAGAAAACACCCTATCTCAAAAATAATCAGCAGCAAAAGCACTAGAGGCATGACTCAGAGGAGGAATACCTGCCTAACAAGCCTAAGGCTCTAACTTCAAACTCGGGTATCACCAAAATAAAACAAAACGACATAATTACTAGTTTTTAACACATACCTCTGGTCCACTGTCCTGGTGATTCTCCATTAATCGCTGTATAAATTTTTCAACTATTTGTGGTCTTACAACTGAAAAGTTCTCTTTCATGACTTGATGTTTCCAAAGATCTAGGAAAAATATACCAACCCTAATATCACAAAACACATTTAAGTAGAAAATGGGCAAATATTTTTTTTGTTAGGCAAGTAATCACAGAATAGAAAGCAGTAGGAGGAAAAAGATGAGGAAAACGTACTCCAAGAGCTTGGAGTATAAAAATAGGGACAGGCTGGGAGCAGCTTCTATCAAGGCAATTTGTACTGGGGAAGCTAGGTTAGGGAGATTCGCTTGAGCTGTAAGCAAATGTCTTTGTTTTAGCTATTGCAATGTTTTGATCTTATCACCCAAACATAGAGACACTGGGTCTGAGGTAATTTCAAAACTCAGAGTCTTGTCACATGAGAGTCTGTTTCTTGTAACCAAAAGAATTGCTATACTTCCATGCATGTTATTAACCTGGGACAAGGTCAGAGAAATTGTAGAGGAAGTGGGTCTTTCACTATAAATTTTAACGAAGGAGGGATGTATTGGAACACATGCATGCATGTGTTCTTCTAAAATATTTAATGTGATGCTTAATTTTCAATCCTTGCAAATCATTTCACCATCCTAGCTCCTGATCCTGGCTTGCTCTGATTCCCATATCATCTGTCACTCTGCTAACCTGTGTTAAAATGGATGATAAAACCCAATCACGCTGGGCAGCAGTGGCCCATGCCTGTAATTCTAGCTACTTAGGAGGCTCAGATCTGAGGATTGTGGTTCAAAGCCAGCCTAGGCAGGAAAATCTAAGAGACTCTTATCTCCAATTAACTGCCAGAAAACTGGAAGTGACACTGTGGCTCAAGCGGTAGAATGCTCACTTTGAGCTGAAGAGCCGAGGGACTGTGCTCAGGACCCAGAGTTTAAGCCCCATGATCATCAACAACAAGAACAACAAACCCCATCAACAACAAGAAAAAACCAAATCACCATGGATTACTAAGTGAAATGGCAAGGTACAGAACAGTGGGTATCAAATGGCACCTTTTATGTGATATGGTATGCACAATATAGTGGGAGGGTATCCCCTCAAGCCTACCCAGTACCATTTCTCTGGAGGTTTCTGTTGTTCTCCTGTGTCATAATTCTCCTCCCCTTTCTTCTCCCCATTCACAATGATGCCATTATTTTCCTCATTTCATACTTTTTTTTCTTGAATCTACTTCTTCAGTCACTTTTTACCCCCCCCCCCCTTTTTTGCACTCTTTTGTAACAAAATTCACAGAAAGAGATGTCTACTGGCAAATGGCTTAGCTTCTCTCAAATACCTTTTCAAATCCACTCCCAGGGTTTTCACTTCCTCCAGTCTGCTGAAACTGTTTTAGCCGCACACTGATGATTTCTTCATGATGAAAGCCAGTCATCTACCAGTACAGCTTTTCACCTAATTTGTTACTCCCTCCTTTTTGAGGGACTTCCAATGGTAGGCCTTGGGATACCACTCAAACTGATTTTCTCCTCCGCTGTTTTATTTTTCTAGGATTCTTTTGCTGGCTAACCTTTTCCTTTTAAGACGTGCAAGAACCCTCTTAGTGTTCCAGGACTCAACTCTTGGCCCACCTCCTTTCTTATATATTAACACCCTTAGATATCTCATCCCATCTTACAGCAAAATACCTACCATCCAACCATGACAATCCTCCAATTTAGATCCACTTCCCACGTGAGGTTTAAAAATCATTTAAACTTGATTTTGCATAACCAAATTCATAATTTTCTCTAATTTGCTGTATAACTTTCCCTCATTTCAGCTGATAGAATTTTTATTTTTCTAATTGCTCAGGCCAAAAACCTTGGAGTCATGATCAAGTGACTCTTCTCTTTCTCCAGCCCCAATAGTATTCAACTCATTACTGCCCCCTTCCAACACAACCAGCATCTATTTGCTATTTACTCTGTTCTCAACTTTGAGCCTGCTTCCAAACTAACCTCTCCATTCACTGTTTATGTTTTCCTCTCACACTATTCTCAATATAGCAGCAGAAGAGAGCTACTAAGATAGAAGTCAGATCATGACAATCAAAATCAGGACCAGCCCCTTCCCCTTTTCATTCAGACTAAACACTCAAGTCCTCATAAGGTTACACATGACCCACACTCCCCGCCCCTGACTTTCTCTCCTATTATCCTTCCCTCACACTCTGCATGCCAGCCACTTTTGGGTGTAACTGTTCTTCAAATATGATAGGCTCAAAGCCTGGGCACTGATTTTTTCTGCTTGGAATGGTCCTCCCCAGAGCCCATCATCTCATCTTTCTCTCATCTCTTTTCCTTACCTATTCAAACATGTACACAAAATATCACTCACACAGCGAGGTCTACCCTGATGACCCTATTTTAAATTGCGATGTGCTCCCTTTAAGCTTGTACAACATCATTTTTAATCGGTTCTTTTCTTATTTCATTTATTGCCTCTAGATTATCAACACTATGGGAATAGAACTACTGCTCATGAAAGTAAAGCTATATCCCTTCAACAGTGTCTAAAATATAGTAGACTAGAACACAGAGGTACATAATACATAGTCATTAAATGATAGAATAAATTCACATGTGCATAGAGACACGATTTTTTTAATTCATGAAAATTACACAGAGATGACAGAAGAGTGTGTAAGAGGTCAATGGTGGTAATGAGGCTTCTTAGTGTATTTTTTATATCATTTTAAGTTTTAAATTACTTGAAAATATACATGTAAAAATAATACTACATTGCTAAAACAAATATGATCATTCTACTTGTATGTTCAGTATTTGAACAAGAGACTCAGTGCACAAAAGAACAAATGCCCAGCAGTGTCTGCCGAGAAATGTGGCTATGACAGACCTGGAGTCTATGCTATTTTCATGTATAATGGTATTTATTAAAGAGCCTTGGGTTGGACAGTGGAATGCCACATTTCTTCTACAATTGGCCACTTCCCATAATGTATATACAAGTGTAGTCTTGAATTTATTTTCTGGAATAAAGGTGAATAGGCATATCACCACTGTCACAGCATAATTAAAATGGAATATCCAAAGGTTCACATGTCCAATGGAAACTCACACTTCATACATCTGAAGTATGACTATAGAAGTCTAAAGAAGACTATATACTATGTATGTAAAGGGCAGGGGCTGGTTCTGATTTTGAGTGACATGATCTGACTTCTATCTTAGTAGCTCTTTTCTGCTGCTATATTGAGAATGGAGTGAGAGGAAAAATAGTGAATCAAGAGGTTGGTTTGGAAGCAATCTGTGTAAGAGAAGATGGTTGAGAACAGAGTAAATAGCAAATAGATGCTGATTATATTGGAAGTGGGCAGTTAGACTATAGAATTCTAAATTTCAACAAGATAGGAAGAAAGTTCAGACAAGAACTTGGATACCTTTTCCAGGGTGTCACTCTATCATACACTAGTGTGGGGAATCATCACTGGAGAGTTTGGAGTTTCACTCTGGGCTTAGCTAGAAGGGAAGCATTTTATCAGATGCTTCCCAGAATGCTGACTTGCCAGCATTCTCCTCACTCATGAGTTCAAGTTCGGACATGCAGCTGCAGCTGCAACCTTAGAGTGAGGAGTCAGGGGGAATGGAATTTGTCCAAGGAAAATAATTCCTGGTAAAAGAGGAGCTAGCTGTCTCCACTCTCACTCTGTGTGTGTGTGTGTGTGTGTGTGTGTGTGTGTGTGTGTGTGTGTGTGTGTGTGTGTGTGTGTGTGTGTGTGTGTGGTCATGGCTTCATTAAAATGAAGCAAAAGATTTGACAGAATTTTGGAAGTGGAAAGGAGGCAGCACCCTTCAAATTAGGATTTTACTCTGTTCCCAGATCCGTAGACTGAAGAAAATTTAAATTTCCTGTTGACCAAATCATTTCCATTCCCCTTCTCTCTGAACAGCAACCTGGCCCAGCCTCCTCCTTGAAGGAAGGACCCATTGACTCCCAGCATTTCAGTCCAACTGCTGTACTCTGGACCTGTTGTGGTCCCTGGGTACTAACCCAGGGCAGACGGAACCTGAAGGGTACAACCGCCACCACAGCTGTTCTCTGAACCAGTCAGGGCCCCTAATAAGTAGATAGGTTGAAAAGCATATGTGCACTTGTCCTGTGCGCCTGTGATTTTTCAGGACACTAATTTAGGACACTAATAATTCAGGACACTAATTCCTTAAGTTAATAGTTTATGGACCCAAGGGGAATAATGGTTTGGCACAAATAAATTTTAGGGAAATATTGTACCTCTGAGCCACTTCCCCAGTTCCAGATTATTGTATTTTCAGTTTCTTTCCTGGACAGAAGACAGTAATATACGATAGGATAGTAAAGGCTCCACGGATTAAAGTAGAGGACTCTTTAACATGATTGACTCTGTGTTTTCTGAATCTATTTTGACATAGAATAAATAAACAAATCCTTTCTCCTGAAAAAAAAAAAAACCTGAAAAAAATACAGAAGAAATCTTCCTATCTAATGTAATCAAGATTGAGTCAGTCAAAAGAAGTCAGTTAAAGCAGACAACGCTTTACAAATGACATACACTATATTGTATTTAATTTGAAAATACACAAGTTTAAGTAAGCAAGGTACTACTGGCAATGCCTGTAATCCTAGCTCCTGAGAAGGATTAAGATTTGAAGCCAGCCTAGGAGAAAAATCCTACAAGTAACCAGTAAAAAACAGAGATGATGATATGGCTCATGTGATAAAGCATCAGCCAATCAAGCTAAGTGAGCTTGAGGCCTTGAATTTAAACCCCAAAGAATAAAAAGGAAAAAAAAATACCCCATAAATTCACAAGCATTCACCAATCATCTAGGTCTTTTCTTTGCACATTCCTATTGGTTGGTATTTATACCATCTTTCATCGATAAACCATATGTTATAACATATAGCCTACAGTTTCTAGTTTTATTTGCTGTTAGAGTAAGCTTGAAGAGTATGAAAATCCAAATGCATTATTTTGTACATTTTGACAATTTTGTCCAATCTTTTCAGTCATCTTTCCCTCAACAAATTTGATTTTTTTTCTTTTCTTTTCTTTTC